TATATTGACTGGTGTAGGCTGTGTACGATGACCAGCTTCTGAAATGCTTTTGTAGTTGATATAAATAATCTTGAATAGATGATTTAGCAATAGAGAACCTCAACCATTTAAACTCAATTCTCCGCTGTTTTTTTTTCATTCTAAAAATTGAACATTTATTCAGATTAGCTGTTAAACCACTTTGGCTATTTTGTATTTCCTTCTTGTCTTTTTCCCACTGTCTTAATAAATATGTAATAGATTGAACTGAGTTACTCGATTTGATAAATCTAATTGGAAAACTTTCTTTTAAATGAAAGTAATGACTAATAAAAAATAGTGTTCGTAAATGTGATAAAATTTAATACCGTAGAGTTGCCTAATTTAAGTACACATTTAGGTAGACTGCCATTTGCTATATTCAGTTATCTAAACTGGATGGTTACTTTCTCTCCACATCTCATTTTAAAAAGCTTTTGGTCAAAGAGTTTTATTTGCATCCTTACATGGAGGCAACCTTAAAATAAAAGTAATTTAATAAAAAACACTTCCTGGCCAGGCACCATGTTGGACTACATGAAGGAGATGAGCATAGTAATATAGGGGCAGGCTAGGGGGAAAGGCTGACAACTGAAGAACAATTAAAATATATTATGATGTGGGTAAGTTTGATAGTACTTTGAAGCACAAAGCTAATACATATCAGGGATTCTTCTGGAAGAAGTGATTTTTAAGCTAAGATTCAAAGTATAAGTAGGAGTCAGCCAGGTAGAGATGTGGTAGAAGAATTTTGTCGGTGGGCACATGTGAAAAGGGAGGCAAGAAAGCATGGAGTCATTGGGGGAAGTAGAAGTAGTTTATAGTAAGTTTGAATATTGAGAGACTAATATTTTGTTCTGCAAACACATGTCACTTATAGGGTTTGCGTTTGGATAGTTGTGTAATTTTGTTCTTCCCTAAAAACAATAGGTTTTAAATCGGGGGTCAAAAGCTCTTTGTTTTGTTTTTGTTTCAGAGAGTAAAGTTAGAAGTCAAATTGTTTCGACTGGCTCTTGGTGTTATCTAGGAACTATTAAATTCTTTTTATTTTTATTTTATTAAAAAGTTTTATTTCATTTTTAATATCTTTTAGAGTTCACTCTTGGTAGATTTTTAAAAGCTGACAAATACTACAAACTCATACAATCCAGAAAAAAGCAACATGACATTTTTTAAGTTAATTGCCTAAAGCACTTTATAATACCTGTTTTTCCTGCATTTTAAAATTTGGATAATCTGTATATGGCAACAATTTTGAATTACTGTTTCACATAGAGATAATAAGAAGGTAATTCAGTGTTCAAACTTGGTTGATCAATTTTTTTCCCAGTTTTATTGAGATATAATTAACATATAATATTGTATTAATTTAAAGTATAAAACAATGATTTGATATATGTATATTGTGAAAAGACTATTACAATATGTTTAGTTCAGTCCACTACTTCATGTAGCTACAGATTCTTTTCATATGATGAGAATTTTTATTCTCTTAGAAACTTTCAAATATACAATACAGTATTGTTAACTATAGTCACCATGCTGTAAATTATATCTCCAGAACTTACTTATCATTTAACTGGAAGTTTATACCTTTAGACCACCTTTAACCCTTTCCCTCACCTGCAACCCCTCCATGCTCTGGAAACCAAACTGTTCTCTGTTTCTGTGAATTCATTTTTTTAATATTCTACATATAAGTGAAATCATACAGTATGTCTTTCTCTGTCTGACTTATTTCACTTAGCATAATGCCTTCAGGTCTATGTTGTCACAAATGTCAGAATTTCCTTTCTCATGGCTGAATAATATTGCCATGTGTATATATCAAAAGATAGATAGATAGATAGATAGATAGATAGATAGATAGATAGATAGACAGACAGATAGACAGATAGACAGATAGATATGTATGTACAT